CTGCTGCTGCTGTTGCTGCTGCTGCTGTTGCTGCTGCTGCTGCTGCTGTTGCTGCTGCGTTTGCATAGGGCTAGAGCCTCAGCAACAAGAGGAAGCACAAGGCCTGGGAGCACCGCGTGCTGCAGCCAGTCTGTCACAGTGCATGCATTTGGGCGTGCTGCTGCTGCTGCTGCGGCTGCTGCTGCTGCTGCTGCTGGCGATGAGGCGTGGTCGTCTGCGGAGGCGGAAGCAGCAGCAGCAGAGGCAGCAGCAGCAGCAGGGAGTGCAGCAGCAGAAGCACGGTGTACAGCAGCACGGCGTGCTGCTGCAGCTTCAACAGCAACACCAATAAAGCCGCAGTAGCAGCAAATAGAGAGACAGTAGCAACCCAAGAGACAGAGCGCATGCTGCTGATTCAAATCTAAATACTCCTCAGCAGCAGCAGCAGGTGCTGCTGCTGCTGCTGCTGCTGACTCTGCCGATGCTAGCCCTGCTCCTTCTCCTCTTGCTCCCGATACTGCTCCCACTGCTGGTCCTGCTGCTGCTCCCGGTGTTGCTGCTGCTGCTGCTGCAGCTGCTGCTGCTGCTGCAGCAAGAGAAGGCTGGGGTGTACGCGCCATGCGCAGCAACGGAAGTGCAGCGCGAGGCCTCATCGTTTGATGTAAATAAAAAAAACTAAAAACAGAAAGCAGCAGCTGCAGCATGAAACAAACCCCCCGCAGCACATCCGACCTGCAGCAGCAGCAGCAGCAGCAGCACAAAAAGAAGATGAATGAAACTGAACGGCGCCGGCTTAGAAATCCCAGATTTGCTGCAGCAGCAACAATACCACCAGCAGCAGCAACAGCAGCAATAGCAGCAGCAATAACGCACGCAGGGCCATCGGCAGCTGCAACAATAGCAGCAGTAGCAGCAGCAGCAAGAACAGCAGGAGTAGCAGCAGCAGCAAGAGGCGCAGCAGCAGCAGTAACAAAGTAGGTGCAGGAGGAGCGGCAAGAATAGCAGTACAGCAGCAGCAGCAGCAGCATCCTTTGCTGACTCTTCGAGTTGCTGCTGCAGTCGATCTGCTGCAGCAAAAGGCGCAGCGGTGTTTAGCGAAGGAAGCAGCTCTGCTGCTCTGCTCCACAGCAACTCTCCAACACGGCAAGCAATAGCAAGCACCTCCTGAAGCAGCAGCAGCAGCAAATGCAGCAGCAGATACAGATGCAGCAGCAGCAGAATCAGCAGCATACGCAACAACAGCATCATCGGCAGCAGCATCATCTTCAGCAGTACAAGCGGCAGCATCAGCAGCTGCAGCAGCATCATCAGCAGCAGCATCAGCAGCAGCAACATCAGCAGCATCAGCAGCAGCAGCATCATCAGCAGCAGCATCAGCAGCAGCAACATCAGCAGCAGCAGCAGCAGCAGCAGCTGACAGCAGGGAATGCATTTGCGAGGAACGCGGCAAATTCATCGACTTCGCTTTCTGCTGCTCCTCTCCAAGAGAAACTTCGCCTCCATAATAAATCAGCAAACACCAACACCTAAACAGCAGCAGCAGCAGCAGCAGCAGCAGCAGCAGAACAGCAGGAGGAGGATAAGCAGCAGATCAAGCAGCAGCAGGAGCAGCAGCAGCACAAACAGAATCAGCAGCAAAAGAAACGGAGAAATCGTAGCAGCAGAATTAACAGAACTAGCGCCAAAATAATAAGCAGAAGAATTAGCAGCAGCAGCAGCAGAAAAAGCAGCAGCAGCGGAACAGCAGCAGCAGCAAAGGGAGCAGCAAAATGCGTCCAGTCAGCAACGGCAACAGAATAAGGGAACAGACAGCAGCAGCTGCTGCAGCTGCAGCAGCAGCATGTGCGTACTCTCGCTGCTGCTGCTGCTGCTGCAGCTGCTGCTGCTGCTGCTGCAGCTGCTGCAGCTGCTGCAGCAGCAACAGCTGCTGCTGCTGTATAGAAAGCCTACTCTTCTGGCTGGGGAGAGCTGCTGGGCGAGGCGGGCCATTGGAATATCCAACGGCGCCCCGCAGTCGATCGCCTCAAAGACATACTGCCTGCAGCAGCAGCAGCAGCAGCAGCAGCAGCAACAGCAACAGAGTGAGCAGCCAATAGTCAAACAGCAGCAGCGCATGTGTTAAATATATGCGCCGCAACACCGCTGCGACAATAGCAGCAGCAGCAGCAAAGCTAGCAATAGCACCAGCAGCAGCAGCAACAGCAGCAGCAGCAACAGCAGCAGCATGCCATACCCGATGACGTTATCGCAGGTTTCTCTATCTATGGTGAAAAGGCTGTGAGGCAGCAAAACAACTGGCTCTTCAGCAGAAAACTGCTGCAGCACCTGGAGCTGCTGCTGCTGCTGCTGCTGCTGCTGGAGGCCGATCTCACGCAGGGCGCGCAGCAGCAGCGCAGCAAATCGCTGCACCTCCGCATTGACGCTGCTGTAGCTGCACATACACCGCAGACACACAGCGAGGAACTGCAAAGAGTACTGCTGCTGGGGCTGCTGCTGTTGCTGTTGCTGCTGTTGCTGCTGCTGCTGCTGCTGCTGCAGTGCAGCCTCACCTCAAGAAGGCTTTGTCCCCGTCGCTGCTGCAGCAGACGGTAGCGCCGCTGCTGACGAGTTGCTGTAGCTGCTGAAGCAACTCAAGCGTATGGACCCCTTCTTCAGCTTCTGCTGCTGCTGCTTCTGCTGCTTCTGTTCCTGCTGCTGCTGCTGCTGCTGCTGCTGCAGGGCTGGGGCAGCGGAGGGATGCAATCGGCATCTCCAGGTACGCAGCAATTAGCTGCAGCTGCAGCATGCGAAAGGAGTCATGATGTTCTGCTGCTATCCGCTGCTTGCTGCTGCTGCTGCTGCAGAGAGACTGAGACAGCAGCGGCAGATTCTGCACCCAACGCAAACACAGCAGCAGCAGCAGCAGCAGCAAAAGATGCTACCTGCAGGCAGCAGCAGCAACTACAGCTAGCAGCAGCAGCAACTACAGCTACCAGCAGCACCCGCAGCACCAACTACAACTAAAAGCAACAGCAGTAACTACAGCTAGCAGCAGCAGCAGCGACCAGAAGCACTAGTAGCTACAGCTAGCAGCAGCAGCAGCTAGTAGCAGCAACAGCTACCAGCAGCAGCAGAAGCAGCAGCAGCAGGTATTTCATGTGAGCGCATCTCACTCTCAGCGAGCGAAAGATGATAGCTGCAAAGGCCTTGTCCAGAGCCTCAGGTGCAGGCAGATCTGCTGCTGCTGCTGCTGCTGCTGCTGCTGTTGCTGTTGCTGCTGCTGTTTGCTGGTGCATCTCTTGGCGAGGCAACAGATCCTCCGCCTGCCCTCCTGCTGCTGCAGCAACAACTGCAGCAAATCGCGGCAGCAGCTTCACGATGTCCTTGCCGCACCAACCTTCCAGCTGTTGCTGCTGTTGCTGCTGCTGCTGCTGTTGCTGCTGCTGCTGCAGCATATCGCAGCGCTTACGTGGCGAGACAACCACCTGCGAGTTGCCGAGCGACGCTGCTGCTGCTGCCGCTGCAGCAGCAGTTGCTGCTGCAGTTGCTGCTGCAGGTGCTGCTGACACAGCACCAACTTCGCCCCAGAAGAGGCCGTGGGGTTGCTGCTGCCGCAGCAAGCCAACCAAACTACTAGAGACTTCCTCCTGCACAGCAGCAGCAGCAGCAGCAGCAGCAGCAAGCAGCAACAGCAAAATCAACAGAGAGCAGCCGCTTCACGAACAACGACAGCAGCAACACAAATTGCAGCAGCAGCAACAGCAGCAACAGCAGCCCCAGCAGAAGCACCAGCAACAGCAGCACCAGCGCCACCAGCAGCAGCAGCAGTACCAGCCGCAACAACAGCAGCAGAACAAGCACCAGCAGCAGCAACAGCAGCAGCAGCAGCAACAGCAGCAGCAGCAGCAACAGCAGCAGCAGCAGCAGCAGCAACAGCAGCAGCAGCAGCAGCAGCAGGAAGTTTACATGGAGTGCGTGGATAACAGCAAAAGCAGCATCTTCCCAATCTGCTGCAACTGCGAAGACAGCCCGCAAATTGCCGACGACGAAACCAAAAACTGCTTCCTCTTCTAAACCCATCAGGTAGTGGCTGCTGCACAACCCGTACCTGCTGCTGCTGCTGCTGCTGCTGTTGCTGCTGCTGCTGCTGCTGTTGCTGCTGGTGCTGGGAGGGGGGCTGCTGATAATGCTCGGGTCTGTCTCAGGTATGCTGCTGCTGCTGCTGCTGCTGCTGCTGCTAAGGATTAAGTTGGAGGTGTACTGCAGCAAACCGCGCTGCGGCTTTCCCTCTCCTTGTCTCCCAAGTGTTGAGGCGTCAGCACCCATCAACAATCTGCTGTTGCTGCTGCTGCTGTTGCTGCTGCTGCTGCTGCTGCTGCCAGTGCCTCCGGTGTCTCCTGGTTCGATTCCCCGACGCCAAATTGAGGTGTACAGGCACCTCGCTGCATTTCTATCTGCTGCAGCCACTGAAGGACACACTGCTGCTGCTGCTGCTGCTGCTGCAGGTGCTGATGCTGCAGCAGCGTCCGTTGCTGCCAGCAGCAGCTGCTGCTGCACTTGCTGCGGCTCCTGAGACGGGGAGGCGTATGGCCAATCCGCATGATAGAAGCAACTTCCTGCTGCGGCACAGCCTCTAACAGCTGCAGCACAAACAGAAGCAGCAGCAGCAGCAGCAGCAACAGCAGCAGCAGATGACACACGATCAGCAGTCGGTGTGCAGCAGCAAGAGCAGCAGCAGCAGCAGAAAAAACGGGAAAGGGAACTGCAGCAGCAAGCAGCAGCAGCAGCAGCAGCAGCAATGCATACAAAGTTGTTGCTGAAAGTCTGCAGCAGTTACAGCGAAATCCCCGCGGCCCAGTGCTGCTGCTTCGTCCTGTTGCTGCTGCTGCTGCTGCTGCTGCTGCAGCCAGAGGCGAACTGCCAGCAGACACCGCAGCGAGCGGTACTGTGAGAAAACAAACAGAAATGCCTGCAGCAGCAGCAGCAGCAGCAGCAGCACGCACACAAACAGAATGAAGCTGCAGCAACACATACTGCAACAC